CTCTGTCACGGAAGTATCTTATTTCCCCATCCATTTTGAAAGAGAGTTTTGCAGGATACATTGGTCTAGGTTGGAGGTTGTTTTCTTTTAGGACTTGGAATACCTCACTCCAGGCTCTCCTTGACCTGAGGGTTTGTGTTGAAAAGTCTGCTGTGATTCTGATGGGCTTTTCCTTTGCATGTGATTTGTTTCTTTTCTCTTACTGCTTGTAGTGTTTTGTTTTTCTGTTGGGTTTCTGGGATCTTGATTATTATATGTCTAGGTGTAGGGTTTGATTTTTTTGTTCATGGCTAGTTGGAGTTCTGTATGCCTCACTTATCTGTATGTCAAATTTTAGTTTTCTGTCATTAATTCTGTGAACAGCTTTTATAAGTCATTTGGATTTTCTCCTGGTACTTCATGGATTCCTATCAGTCTTATGTTGTTCTTCTTTGTATCATCTTGGAGTTGTTGGATTGATTTCTCATGATCCCTTACTGATTTTAAGAGACCTCTCTTTTCATGGTCACTGAGTGCAATTCTATCTTCTATATCTGAGATTCTATCTTTGCCTTCTTTTATTTTGCTGCAAACACTTTCAATAGAGTTTTTAATCTGGATATCTCTTTGAATCTGTTTTACGGATTCCATTTCTTTCCTATGTTGGCCATTAATTATTTCCATTTCTTTCTTATGCTGTGCCTACATAGCTTCTATCATGGTCCTGAGCTCATCTATTTTTTTCTCAGTTTCTGTTCTAGAGTCTCAAATCATGTCTTTCATTTTGCTCACCATCTCTATGGTTATCTGGGAAATTATTTCTGTTTTGAATTTTCTAGAGCCTGATTGATCTGTTTTGTTAATTCCTGTGCTATGAATTCAGGGTGTCCTGCTAGTTCACCATCAGATTTTTCATCCTTATTTGCCATTTTTGAACCAGAAGTCTTTCTTTGTGTCTTGCTTAAGTGTTTTCCAATTTTTGTTTTTGTTGTTGGGTTGTTCTTGGTTTAATTTCTGGGTTGTTACTTAAATCTTCCTGATATAGCTGTGCTGTAGCTTTTGAGTCTCTAATGACTCCCAGACAGTCTCATTTTCTTAATATCAGAGAAGACAACTAATTAAATCAATCACAATCCTTTAGCCCAATTGATACAATCAGCAACACAAAAGGTTCAAGCACAACTTACAAATTGACCATTTGTGGTAGTCATTAATCTATCACCTTTAAACCATATGAATTAGATTAAAATCATGAAACAGTCCAAAATATGTTTGCAGTGAATAAACTCTTCAATATAACATCTTTACCATTTAGGATGGGGACTTAGACAGAGTTAGGATGAGAGGAGTAGATAAGAAAAAGGATTGGCGAAGGTTTTGGGTAAAACCAGAGGACATAGAATGACCATATAATCTTTATGAAATTGTTAAATTCATAAGGGAAAGACAGAGTGAAAGAATAAGGACAAGAATGTAACCACTTAACAGTAAAAGGGGCTCACTTTACTTTGAAACTATTGACCCTTGAGTGAGGTAAAATGATAGAAGAAAAGAACATAAAGAAAAAAGACAAAATGATAAAGGAAGAAATCTGAGGGCAGGAGCAGGAACAGAAATGGAGACAAGCGATAATATGGTGGAGCAAGATTTTGTGTTGGAGAAAGAGGACAGAAAAAAGAAAGAATTTGCAGAGTGGAGTGAGGAAAAGAAAGAAAAAATTGAATTTGAAGGGCCTCTTTCAGACTATATCTCTGCTGTCATAATATACAATGTGCACAGCCATGTGCAGAACTAAGTCCTTTGATCTCATTTAGCAGATGGCAGACCCTTGAGATTCAGACTGATTTTGGGCTGCAAGGCCCAAATTGAGTCCCTGACCTCCTGTGGGGTTGAACTCCCCACAGTTTCACCACCAGTTCCCTCTTCCCTTTCTTCAAAGACTTTCAAAGTTGGGAGCTCAGAAAAATACCCTCTATGACTACCTATGCCTCTGCAGAGTGGAAACAAGGACTGGCACAAGCAGGAGATCTGAGAGCAGAGTCAGGGGTGTGAGGATGGGGGGGTGTTTCAGGGGTGCCCACATGGCCACCTTCCCTACTGGAGCTGATGGTGGTGCAGGCAGGGGAGGTTGTTGCCACCCAGTCTTGCTGACTGGGCCCAAGAAGGCTGGAGGGAGAAGGGATCTCAGCACAGCATCCCAGGTCTCATCTTCCTTGCTGGAGTGATGGCGGCACAGTGGGATGACATATTTTTAAAAAGCTTTTGCACTGTTCTGCCATGTTGCTTTTCCTCCTTTTTTGGGAGGTAGCCCAGCAGATCCTCCTCATAATAAAGGCTTGCTATGTTCACCTCAAAGTGATGCATCCCAACAAGTCTGAATAAAAATGAACATCATGCCAGTCTCCAGGATTGGAGACACCAGAGGAGTGCTGAGGTTCTTTCCCCAGCCTTGCCTGGGTGCCTCATTCCACTTTTAGATGCATCCCAGCCTTTGCTTCTTAGCCTTCTTCTTAAAATATACTTCTTGGAATTTATATCACTTTCAGATCAGGAGCCTGTTCTACATCTAGAGACCTTAGACCACTTTGCTCTGATGAAATGATGAGGAATACATTTTGACGTTGCTTTTAAGTTCTTTTGGCATCACAGTTCCATTTTGAAGACCAGTGAAGATGGTGGGCTCTTGCTTTCCCCGTAAAACATGCGCACATAGACACACAAAACACACTGCTTCCAATTTCATGGGTCCTCTGAAGTTTATTACTAGATTCTGGCCCAGTGCTTTCAGAAGGAATCCAAGGTCAAAGCACATTCTTACTGTGAGAGTCTAGAACTGGGAAACAGGACTCCAGTGAGAAAATTAGCCAGGTCTTTCATAATCCCCTTTGGTGTAACCTAGGCATGGCTTTGTTGGTGGAATTCCTACTGGATTTGACCTTTAAGCTCTTCCATGTTAAGTTCTCCTGGTCACCTAGGACCTGCTTTTCTCCAGCCACAGCCTGGTGAAAAATATAGAGCCAAATTTCTGGTGAGAGCACTCAGGTGCACAGGGCCAGAATAATGGTGGCCTCACCTCCCTCCTGCTGCCTCTTTACACAAGGAGAGTACAGCTCTCCCTGCCTCCATATCAGAACTCAGGCTCCTCTGGATTGGTTTTCACTGAACACTGTGTTTGTTGCATTGTAAAGTCTACTCATTTACAGATGTAAGCACTCTGCTGCCTGCCAAATGGCTCTCAGTACAACAGAGATTATTTTGATCTGCTCAAAACCCTCAGTGCTATCCTTGATACCATCATGTGAGAGCCAATTGGGTTATGCACAGCAAAATCCTTAGACACTTTGACCAGGTAATTTCCATTTTATATTTTCAGCAAATAACAATATATTGGGCAAATATTAATTATAAGAATATGACTTATAGGCAGCTTGCATGAGCACATTTTTGGAAAGGAAATTGTCCCATTTCATGGTCAATGCCTCCTGTTAATCTTAGACTAAGTAAAGGAAATTGCTGTTAGAGACAACAGAAATCATTTTCCTAACATTTTGTAGGTTTTTAGATTACTCTCTGTCAATATAACAAGGCCTATGTCAGTTAGTTCATTTGTATTCATCTGATGATTGTGGTTGGTTCTTATTTGGCCAAACTAGCATGCACCTTCAGGCTTTGCTTAGCAGTTGTGAGAAGGAATACTTTATCTCTCTATATATGAAAAAGCAATCATGTAGCCTGTTTACCTTGGCCATCATCTCACTGTCATGAAGAAGACCAGCTTTAACTTAAGATACACTTGAGAAAAACAGGAAAATAGAACTGGATTACCAATCAAACCATTCCTGAAGCTTAGATTTATCTGTATGTTTTCAGCTACAGACCAATAATTCTCACTAATTATTCCAACAAAAGCTTTGTTTTCCATACTTAGAACTCAAATTATCATGATAGACCTTAATTATGTTAAATATATATTTGTATATCACAAAGTCATGTAATAAAATGTCAGTAATATTTGGGTCTTGGAGATATGCTTACCAATAATTTTTCTCTGTGATTTGTGCTTTTCTGTATAAATAAATATATGTTTTTCAGAAGAATACAAATATGATGATTATTAGAGTCACCATAAAAATCATTAATTCACCCAAACCATCAGACATGTAATTCCAGATGGTGATAAGCCAAATGAAATAACTTCTCCAGTGGAAGTTAATTTATTACTTTTTCTTTCTCTTTTTACTTTCCAGAGCCAGAAATGCAAAGTTCCTAATTATAAGAATGTCATTAATATTTTCAAATAAATTTATTAAAATATTTTAAATATTACTAGTTCAAGACCCATGGACACTGATACCTGGAGCAGTTAAAATTGGCTTTGAGTGCACTGGTCCTGGTATAGGGTATGCTGCAGTAGGAGAATGGATTGGGATTCCCTGCCTATAATTTCCTGGCAACTACTTAACTTCTCTGAACCTCAGTTATTTCAGCTCAGAAACTATGCAGCTGGACTGAAAGGTTATCTACTGTGCTTTCACTTGTGAAATTCTAAGATTCTATAAATGGCTTTAGATTATGCCTTATGAGTCAGAATGAGTCAGAGGGAAAAGTGCTATCATTGTAATGAGTTTGATGTGTCCCTGTGTACTGTCCAGGTTATGCACACATATTTTACAATGTCCCTGATTATTTTGTATTGTTTGTTAACACAGTGTGAAAATCTTTTCTCAGGGAAATATCTAAGAAAGACTCACATTAAAGTGTATCTGCTTTGTTTCTCCTTTTCTTTAATAACTTAATTGTTTGGTTTCTATTGACTGGATAAGAGCTTGGCTAACTAAAAGTAAAAAATTTTAATGGTACATTGTTTGCACATCCCTTCGCCAGGGGAAGCTGTGTGTTACAACTTCTAAGTACTTGGCAAGAGTTCTAATAGTGGTCCTGAGAATGAGTGGGCTGTCACTGAGGTAGGTGTCTACTTGCAGCCATGTTCACTTTTTACTTTTGCCAAATTCATCCTCAGTATGGAACTTCAACAGAACCCTGCAAGTAAAGATCAGGGTCCTAGAGCGAGGCCAGGGGAGCTGGAGCCAGGCAGCATCGATCACTGCCACTGCAAACCCGAGACCACAGAGGACGGAGGCGAAAGAGCACATGCACACCATGTGGAGACTGGGCGCTGGTTCAGCCCTATGCCTCCTCTTCCTGATCGTCGAGGTCGTGGATGAGTAAGGCCCGGGAGACTCCTCTGACTGAAAAAGCAATCAAAGGAAACTGTGCACCACTATGGGAGGGTTACCTAAATTCTTTTAAAGTAGGATTCAATATTTTCTGTAGGAATAAAGTAACAATATGCTCAGTGTAGATAAGTTGGAAAACAGAAGAAAACAAAACCAAATTCATTACGAACCCACACTCGAGCCATAAATTCCAATAACATTATGGAGTATTTTGTATAATATATTTTCTATGTGTGCTTCATGGGTTTTTTTTTACATAATTGAGAGCATATTGAATGCTTTGACTATATTATCAACTACTGTTCGAAAACATTTGTATGCCTGAGCAATATTCTATAAAATGCTTCACTGTAATTTACATAACCATTTCTCCATTGTTAGAAATTCAGAGTTTTTCCCGCCTGTGGACCAATACAGCAATGAAAGAGTCATGAATAAATCTCGGCCTGCTTTTCTACTTAATCCCTTCAAAGAGATTTCTAAAGGTGGAAATAATTGGTTGAAGGACATGATTTTTTTTTTTTTACTTCTTGAATCATATCATTGTTCATAAAACTTAAAATGATTTAAATGACTTCCAGTTCTGTCTAAGAATTCTCTCTCCAAATCTCTATTAGAATTTACATTAATCTTCTAAAAAATCTGTGTTAATGCAAGGATGAATGTGCACTCTAATATTCATTTCTCTAATTATTGCTCTTTAAGAGTATTTTTGCATAGTTGTTAGTTATTAATGTAGTATATTTCCTTCTATTATGTATCTCCTCCTTACCCCCCCACATATGTACACACACACACACACACACACATTCATATATATATACATATATATATATCTGGGGATCAGCCTGGAGGCACTCTACCACTGAACTATATTTTACCCCCTCCTTTTTTTTTCAGACAGCATACCACTAAGTTCCCCAAGTAGGGCTTGAACTTATGACCCTTCTATCTCAGCCTCCCTAAATGCAGGGATTACAGGATTTCACTACTAAGCTCAGTTTTTTTTTTTTAAATGAGTTTGCTGGTACATTTTAGGTATACAGTACAGTTACATTCATCATTGAGATCTTGTACCTTTACATGACAGGTCTTGGTTCTCACTTTTTTCCCTTGTCCCTGCCCTCCCTTCACCCCTCCTCCCGTTCTATAAAATGGAATACTACTTAGCCATGAAGAATGAGAAATTATATTCATTCATAGGAAAATGGATACATATTGAGCATACACACTCAGTTCTTAATATCTGTTGTTCATTTGTCTTTTAGAGAATTCTGTAATTCTCTATATTGATCTCTGGAAGCTCTTTATATAGTTAGGGTGTTCAATTTTTATTGTATCAGTTATATGTTTACAATTTCTTTATTTGTAGATTGTTTTGACTTTGATAAATTTTAAATTTGATCTAGGTATCTGTATAAAGCTTTTGAACTGAGTTTACTACTTTTTTACTGTTTTGGTGCTTATAATCTTTCTTCATCTACTGAGATGGTAAATGTCTTTTGGGGCATTGTTTAAACATTTGCTTTTAATTTTAAACAATATAAAGTTAGATATATTTTATGTTCTAAGGATTGAAAATTGATTTTCTAAATATCTAACAAAACTTTAAGCAGCACTTATGCATAGTTATTTCCCCCAATGATATTTGACATTTTAAATTATCAAACTTTTATAAATAGTAAAGTCTATTTCTAAGGTAGTTCATTAATCATGTTCCTATTTTTTGTCAGTAGCATACATTTTAATGTGAGCTCATAGTTTTAATGTCTGTTGTTTCCTCATTATTTTTTACTTAACAGAAAACAAAAGATTTTATTCCTGTTTCCTATCTTAATTAAATATGAGAATCATTTCATTCAGTTCTCTCCCAATCTAATTATAAATTAATCTGAGAACACTAATTTTATTTATAATTTATTTTCACTATGTTTTTCCCTCTTGATGCTGTTTTTACAGGTTTTTGACTCTGAATTATGCATGCTAAAATGGAAAGCTTAGGTTTAAAAACTTTCTCTTAATAAAAAGTCAAACAGTTATGCAACATTATAATTATCTTTTCCTTTGAGAGAACATCCTGGCTTTAGAAACATTTTTATACATATGTCCTTGATATATGTTTTAATTTTTTCCTCACTCACGAATGCACTCAAAATTTCTATTTCTTGAGAACATCTTGACCATTTATGTTTTCCCAAAGTCACTCATCTTACTGAAATTTTCAAATTTATTGTCATACGATGGAGCATGATAGCCTCACCTCTGAATTTACTCAGTTCAAAGATTTTGGAATGCACTATTGCTTTATTTTTTCCTCAAATATAAAAAAAGAACAGTGGAGGTTTCCTGGTAGATAGAGAGAACTAAAAGCTACTACCTATCTGCTACCACTGTTACCTGTCATACTCTGTTACCAGTATTTTGGTGCCCTCCTTTTCTGTCTCTCATGCAAGAAGATGGCTAAATTATTAACAGAGGAAAATAGACTCTGGCAAGCTACTTTTTTCCATTATAATATCTATCAGCTGGAGTTAGCTGGTTTATTTTAGCTATGAATTCCACTGGTGTATGCAGTCAAATTTAAACTTCTATAACTTTTGAAAACCAGAAAAGTACTTATATAAATCTAGTCTAAATCAACTTCCAGATTGAAACACAACCTTCTAATCAAAACACACAAAATTAACCAATAACACACAAATTCTAAAGCAAAGGTAAGTCTTTTGAATGAAATGCCACAATAGCTTGATGGAGTTATGCAGTTCCAATCTAGAAAAATCCCCTCGTGGGTCCACTGATATGTGTGCAGTATATAATTGCTAAGATTATGGACAGTATTCAGTTTCTCATATAAAAGATTTGCAAAATGTAAGTTTAATAAAAGAAGCCATATTGGCCTAGAAATGTTAATTTTTTTATTTTTATTTTTCCATTTGTACAGGGGTAACGCATTATACTAAATATGTAAGGTCATATCTACGTGGGTTTGATTACAGAAACTAAAAAGTATTCTCTAAATAATGAAAAAAAAGAATAAGGTAAGATCACAAGAGCAAGAAGCAATTTAAATATGTTAAGGGACCATTTTCATCTTCAGAATTAAGGATTATTTTAATTTTACATCATTGCCTTTTCTCTTTTACTTTCCTTTTTAGTTATATTTTAGGATTCCCTATTTTTAATGTTCATACAGAGATTTCTTTAACTGAAATACCGAATAGTTTCTCTGGTGTGGAAAACTATAATAGTACACAGGATCGTAATGAAATAATTAATAATGTGAAATAGGAAGTAAAGGGCTAAAGGTGTGGGGAAACTGGGAAAGGTGGGGGAAAGGTAATAAGGGAGAGCAAAAAAATACGAGAAACTGAAAAAAATGGAAATAAAGTGTTTGTAAATGGGGAGGGGAGGATGGGGTGAAGGGAGAGCAGGGACAAGGGGAAAAAATGAGAATTAAGACCTATTATGTAAAGGTACAAGATCCCAATGAAGAATGTAACTGTATTGTATACCTAGATTGTACCAATAAACTTAAAAAAAACTGGAAAAAAAAAAAAAGAAGCCACTTGGACTGTGGTTTGGAAAGGTGGTGCTCTGGGAGCTCTGAGTCAGCATTTTTCGCTTCTACATCAGGTGAGATTGGGTACAGTTTTTCTCTCTGTGCTTGTCTAGGTCACTTAACTTGTCATCCACATTTATCCAAGTTGATGCAAATGTTAGAGCATCATTATTTTTTATGACCGAGTTGCATTCCATTGTATCACAATTTTTTATTTAATCATTCACTCATGGGCACAAATTGATTCCATAGTTTCATTATTGTGAAAAATGTTGGGATGGATACAGGAAGGTAGATACTGCTTGGTATATTGACACTGTGGTTTGAATTTACATTTTCTGGTTGTTAGGAAGGCAAATTTACCTTAGTTTGAATATATACCCAATTTTCACTTTTGTTTTCTGTGCACTTGAGGTCCCATTTAAAAATAATCGTTATCCATGCCAATGTCAGGGAGCCTTTCTCCCAGTAGTAGAAATTTGGGTGTTACATTTAAGTCTTTAAACCATTTTGATTTGACATTGGTATGTTGTCTAAGTGTCAAATTTTAGCCTGTTGCTTGTGGATAATCCAGTTTTTCCAAAACAGTTTATTGAAGATACTGCCCTTTTTTCATGTGTGTTGGCTTCTGTCTGAAATCGACTGACCATAGATGCATCAATTTATTTCTAGGATCTCTATTCTGTTTCATTGGTCTATATATCTGGTTTTATGCCAATGTCATGCTGTTTCAATCCTGTAGTGGTTTGGGCATAACTTTGTAGTGTATTTTGATGTCAAATTGTGTGATATCTCCAGATTTATTCTATTTTCTCAATATTGCTTTGGCTATTTGGAGTATTTTGTGATATTATACAAAATTTACAATTTTTTTCCATTTCTGTGAAGAATGTAATTGAATTTTTAAAGATTTTAAAATTAATTTTATTGGTACCATTTAAATATATGTATAATGATTCCATTCTTCGAAGTGAGTTTGTACCTATGCGTGATAGACTTTGATTCCTCTTTTCTTCCATTCCACTTCCCTCCCTTTAACCTCCATTCATTTACAAAATGCTTTGTCTTCATTTTTTCCTTCTTTTATCAATTTTTCATCTTTCCCCTCCTCCTCTCACAGTTTCTCTTTCCTTTTGAACAGTTTCTTCCTATTTATCTATTATACCTTTTAGTTTTTATTTACCCTTTCAGTTTCCCACATTAGAGAGACATTATACATATGTGTCTCATTTATTTCACTTAAGAGTATAGTCTCAAGTTGCATCCATTTAGCTATAAATAATCTCTAGTTTATCTTTTTTCTCTCATTGAGTTTATTGGTGCAATCTAGGTATACAGTACAGTTACATTCATCAGTAGGATCTTGTACCTTTACATGACAGGTCTTGGTTCTCATTTTTTCCCCTTGTCCCTGCTTC